TTTTGTGGGCATTTTGCATCTATCATGTACATTGGCCAATGATGTTTAGACGGGTGAAGTTAACAGTCTTTCCGCCAAAACGTTCCAAATTGTCCTCCAAATTACAGTTCATTTATGAGACTAAATAGTTTGCAAACGAACATGTTATTACAAAAGTAGGTCAAATATTACATTCAATAAAAAACTTGAATAATTAGTTAAAAGGACAACACGCAAAAGACTCTTAGTTATAACACAGCTTACGTTTGAGACAAACAAAAGGTACAAGTTTGTACCCTCTTTAAATTTCTTGTTGAAATTACCCAAAAGGGTACAATATTGTACCTTTTACAGAGTTTGCTACACATTGCACTTTTTCCTGAATTTTTGCACCCTTTGTGCACCTTTAATTCTTAGTTTGTTGAGTGCTTGCCCCAACTACCTTCCCCATCTCTGCCATTACTAGTACATGTAGATCTATCATACACATCTTCTTTTACAGCTGCATCCCGACTTTCACTACCGTCCATCTGCTTCCAAGTTTTATCCTTGTTTTGAAAACATAATTGCAACGATTTTAAATTAGCAACGTTTGGCAATTTGAATAGCCTTAATTGTGCATCATCTAATTTGCGTTGACATACTGTATGTAATTCAAACATGATTTCTGTATAGGTAATACATCAGGGTTTTGAAATGACCTGTGAGTTGATTTTACTTTTCGTCCAACGTCCTTGTCATCGTGTTTTTTTAAATTTCATTTCGAAGGTGTTCAATAAATGTGACTATTTCCATAAGAAGATGCACGGAGAATGTAAGAAATATGGTTTACAATTAAATTATTCATACCCTTGATAACAAGTTTTGTAATTGTTAAAGCGTGTGAAAAAATTAACTTGTCCAGGTTTCTTTTTGAGAATGTGACAAATTAAAGCTTACATCTCACAGTATTCAACAAAGGCCATAATTCAATCAATCCACCTTTTATTCTTGAGTTGTGAAAAACAAACACACACACACAAAAAAAACACAAATTTACAAGGGGTATGAATAATTCAATTGTTAACTGTACACCGTCAACTAAAAGCATTGAATTTATATCTTCCAAATTGATATTTCAATATATGAATAATCTAGAATGTAAAACGTATGAATATGAATTGATACTTGATAGGATATATTATCTGGTTGGAGCCAGAAGGGCATTATTAGAATTTAAAACTCAAATTATTTTACAGAGTTAAAACCCTTGAGGCTTCAAAAAAAGAGGATATCGTTTCCATTCGGGTAATAAGAAAAATCACTTGCATTTTCCACGAACTTTCTGAATGTGAAGAGTTGTTTATAGATGTCAAAGGTTGTTGATATTTTGTACTAATATGTTTAGCCATTCCATTTGCATGCTTCAGGTTGTGAAATTCTGTAAATATGTATACAACAGAAATTGTGGTTTTTTTATACCTGTTTGGCAATAACAGTGACTATGTTGTTTGTGATAAGCATGTTTGAAATATTTTGAATTTGTATTTTGGAGATTGAATGTGAAATTTGTTATTTTGTAATTACATGTATTCAAATAAACTAGAATATTTTGCCAATAAGGTGAAAAACAGAATGCAGTGCATTTTTTTATCATGCCAAATTAATATATGAAATAAAATTGACTTTTGAACTGTATTTGAAATGTCATTTGTGGTTTTCTGTTGTTTATTTTCTTTTGTTTATGTTTGTCTGATAATGGTAGTTGTTCAGTAGAAGAGAAAACTTGGAGTTGTAGAAAGAGAGAGAGAGATAGAGAGGGACAAGAAAGAGAGAGGGAGAGATGGGATAGAGAGATAGATAGAGAGATAATAGAGAGGGAGAGATAGAGATAATAGAGGGAGATAAGAGAGAGAGATAGAGAGTGAGATGATAAAGAAAGATATATACTAGAGAGAGAGAGAGAGAGAGAGAGAATGGTGAAGATGAGTTTCGGCGCATATCATTTTGTTGTGTTACGTTATGAACCAGACTCACATAAATATAAAACCGACAATTATTTTCTAAGAAATAACATTTTATTTATTCATTCATTGCACTAATATGAATCATAATAGCATATCACAGGGGGATTACAAAATCTTAAATCACACAAATTTTCAACCAAGTTAGCGAAATATGTACCACTTAATGCAATACATACACACCATATTCGCAGTTGGTATGACAGCGCTAAGGGAAGTGCATTCCGTTCTAAATAGTACACAAGTTTAGTTACATTTACGATAAGATAATCAATCAACGTGTTTTAATTGCTATGAAGTATAAACAGTCCATCTCTTTGCCTGAGAAGGCCTAATAGACAAACAATCTTTCAAGAAATACATGCGAATACAAAATATATCCAAGGAACAAGTAATAAAAATAATTCGTAGACAACATATTTAGACCTATGAATTATCGACAGTACGACACGATCGTGAAGCAGTGAAGATTATTCCACAGCAAACTTCTAACACAAATTGAATACCTAATTTCAACACAAGACCGAACACAATACTAAACCGAAACCTAACTTAAAACTCGATCGTAACCCAAGTTCTTAAACTATATATTGCTCCTGCACTATGTAGCAAAAAGATGATTCCCCACCCCCCTCATATTCTTTATACACCTTTAATTAAGGAAATATCAAGATAACCAAGCTCATGAAACAACTAGTATGAAAGATATGTATTTTCAATCTCTTTCTAGGCTTTAACGTTCGGGGAAGAAATATTTGCAAATAAAAAGGAAACTTCCGGTTACCCCTGTACGTTCATATCTAACGTAGATGTTACATTGTGTAAAGAGGATGTCATCTTTTTTTATTCCTTAAACGTCGGGTTCTCCGACAAAATTCCCCTGTGGTTGATTTCAACTTAAGTCCGATTCCTTACTTTACTCAAAATGCCAATCACAATTGCTACGTAAAGGATTAAAGGAATATTGATATTGTTTAATACGGCGATTTATATACACCAATTTTTCTTGGTTTTCTTTCACAGGCCAATTTACCGAATATTCGCGGATCCAATACATAGAACTAAGGAACTAGACGTAGTACTAAATAGTATGCTGGTATTTTGTTCATGCATATTTATTATTTAAAGAATTCAGCCCCCCAAAAACCCCTTCTCTCCAGACTCGCACCCTTTTGATTGTGTGCACTTATACGCAAGTAGAGATGTCGAAACCTTACACTTCTTTACATTCACCCAGACTAGTCATGAAGATGAAGGGGGCAACACGGGGCAATTTTTCTTCTTGGAATCCATGTTGTTTGGTCAAGAAGTAATGAAATGGGGCAATACAATATTACCCCCACCCTCGTTGATCCGCCAATGTCCTTGCTTAGTTTTACTTTATTATTTCCTCAATCTTCAAAGTCATAGCAATGCACGGTTCCATGAATAAGACAGAAAACACCAATCACTATGACGTCATAATCATGACTACCTATCTTTTAGGTTTCACGGTGATAGATCATCAACATAATCTGCTCAAATTCTCTACCGTTTTCTTTCCTCTTGGAACTGTGCAACGCTCTCCTTTTCAAGCTAACATCTTAACATGTGTCTTAGACACGTTTCTTTTAAAATCCTTTAGGAAGCTTATGACGAACCTATAGCCATCTCGTTAAAAATGTTCCAAAAAACAGATACCAAATAAAGTTATGAGACCAGGGGCTAGTTTTCATGTTATAAATTACTATACATGATTAGGTATTAATGTTCAACCCTTGCAAGGCTGATCTTCAAGTTACTCGATTGCACTAAATTCTGATATAATTATGAAGTTGTTATTAAATTTAAAGAATGATTAACGATTTCGGCATTTCTCTATATATTCCCATATTGGTCGATCAACATTATATTTCCAAAACAACAGGAAAATGCGATTGTACTATCAGTCACAAACAAGTTCTGAAAACCATCTCTTATTTACATAACTACTTTAAAATAATATTAAACCTTATCTTCTTGTTTTAATGTCAATTGTTTCTTTTTATTTGATTGGAGGTGCCTAATTTTCAAATTAAATAAACATTAATATTGCATGCATGGTCATGAAACTAACAGAAGGTACATATTCATTTGTTAAAATCATATTCATTCATGCAACTTCATTCTTTTACCATATTCGGAGATCACTTCAGACCATCATATATTTCATATTGTTATATATCTTTTCTATTTACAGAATTATATCTATTTGATAAAAAATCGTCGTTTTATACAGAATCTCATAAAATTTACAATTTTTTAAAAAGGTAATTCTTGAAGTTGATAAAAATATTTTTGCACTTTGTTTTTCTCAATACACGTATAATACAATACAAAATCACACAGCTATTTAGCGAACATGTTTGTATATAGTGCCTACTATACAGCATTTCCTTAGGCCCTACTATACGATAAATTCTTAAATTTGTGAAGATTATGTTGGCGAACGGACATCTTTAGACTAATCCCGCAAGATCAGAGCGGTTTAATCAATAACATTTGCTCCGTCGCAATCCTTACCAGGAATCATGGTCAAGAGTTCCTGAAGAACTGCTAGTTGAACTGCCTACCGCTTTTTAGTAGGATTATTCGCGAATGGAATTAAAGTCAACTAGGCTAGGCTAGTAGGGTTCAGACTTTCTAAAGAAACAGACTATTACATTTCCCGCAATTATTGTCTAATCTTGATCATAATCTTTAAGAACCTAATTTTGCCGTTAAAAGGCCAGGGTCTATAGAGTTCTCGTTGAATCAAGGGTTCTTCCGTTAAGTTCAATATGAAGATCCAAGTATGGAGTCGATATTGGGCTGCATGGGCTTGCGAAGATTGGACTTTCTCCAGAAACATGATGGCGTTATGTTATAATACATGATCATGAAGTTCAGGAATACAATTTATTCTGTCATAAAAAGGAATCAGGGTCCAGATTTTTGGAGGAACCACCAGTGCTATACTGCCATGGGTGATAACGGGATCATAGTCGGGCTAGTCTAGGCTAGAAGGACCTGGACATCCTCAAGAAACGGCCGTTATCGTCGTCTGAAGATGAACGGCTCGCCGAGATAGACTGACTCTTGATGCGGCGAGTACATGATCACGTGTTTGTGGTAGAAATCCAAGATGGCCTCCACGGAGTCGAAATCATGATGAGCGATTTGGAACTTCTTATCGTCAGTGGTCTGGATGACGTAATGGTGGACCTTGGATCCGTACAGCACAGACAGCATCAGATCTCCAGCCTAAAAATAGAGACAACAATTTAAAAAGAAAATTTTGTTGGGAGCGTATTAGAAAGATCCATTTTCTTTGTATCAAGACGTGTTGAAATTCTTTAAGCTCATTTTCCCTCCAAATTCCTTTCCTCTGTCTATCCTCCTTCGCATGACTGTGTCCCATTAAATCAATTTTGTATCGGATTGTCTTTTCGATACAAACTCTCGTTTCATTAAGAATTAATGCGTTCCAGGACAAGGCACAACCGACCCTTGCTCTCCCTCCTTTAAAAACTCGATTAGGCCTTTAATGTCCTCCATCCCCATTGCGTTCCTTTTCTTTCACATTAGAATTCAAAAGGAAACAGAATGATCTGAAAAAAAGGGGGATAATTATTGTGTGCGCCCATTTTACAGAATCACGTATCCACCCCTGTTCCAGAGTAACCTATACCATTCACCAACATCAGCTTCTTAACGTAAGAATAGTCCGACAGGGGGTGTTTCATAAAGCTGTTCGTAAAGTTACGCATGACTTTACGAACGACTTGAATATGAAGTGCCAGACAGAATGCCCAAAGTTGTTCCTGGTGTTTTAAAAAAGTTTGACTATATTTCCCATAACCTCAATTAAATTATGGCCGAAAATATACTTTGTATTAAAAATGTTTGTTATGTTAAAGATGTTAATCTACACCTGCACAATCAACTTTAGTTGATGCAGTTTAATAATGATTGAGCATTCCATTTGGCTTTTCATATATAAATCGTTCGTAAAGTCATGCGTGACTTTACGAACTGCTTTATGAAACACCCCCAGGTCTTATATTTCAATCAACCTCAAGTTGCAAGGATACTATTTAGGGTTACTCCGAGATTTGGGGGTAATGGTAATGAGAGCGTTAGATTTACCCTGTGAGAGCTATCCCGGACCAAGTACTGCTTCGACTTCCCCTGTGAAAGCATCAGGTATTCACACTCCTGTCTCAGCATCCGACCGTAATACCACGGCTGCGTCACTGTAAAACGAAATGAGATGGAGAACATTAGAAATCAATCATAAATTAATGTTTTCTGTCATCACAGAAAATAGATTCACTAAAAAGTAAGCGAGAAAGTAGATTCACTAAAAAGTAAGCGAGAAAGTAGATTCACTAAAAAGTAATCATTACCATGATTGGTTTAAACGGTACTTATTTGCATCAGTTTCATCAGTATCATGAACAAACAAATATGACATTGTAAGTTGACATTATTTTCGCTATCCATATTGTTGTCGTATTCTTATCAAGTCATAGAAAACTCATATGAATAAACATACATCACAAAATAATGAAGACGTTGCTGTTCGTGCTACATGTTGATATGGTAGTTTAATGGCGATTTTTATCTTAAGTTTTGAATCTAAGTGGCTGACAAATGCTAATTTCCATGAACTTCATTGTTTATGCCGTCCCTAAGGCTTGTTAGGGAAAAACAATGATTTGTGTATTGTTCTTTTTTTAAATAAAACATAGAAAACATAAAAATCAACTCTGACTCAATGTGTTCTTTAAAAATGCGTTTTCAAAATGAGGTCACAGGTAATACAAATATTGCATGGCTAATCTTGTGTGAAGTTTGGTAGGTTCTTAGACAATGCAAGACAAAGAGGTGTTGGAAAGAAATCAAGAAAGAAAACCACACGAGTTCCTGAGAGGAAATTTGACCTAGAACGCAAACAGGTATTCAAATCTCACATTGCTTGTGATGGTGGTCAAACGCGGCTACAACAGGTAATTTAAGTGTTAATTCTTCTTTATAGCTTATACATTTTTTCTTCAAAGTTAAACGTTACTACGCCTTGAGGAAGAAAAATATGGAAAAAAGAGTGCCTTAAGAGAGGAAGAATAAAGGTCAACTAACCAGAGACGGAAAAGGAAGAAAATGGTAGGCTTAGGCGAAGGTGAAGTGGGAAAAGAAAGGAATACAGATAGAAGTAATAGAAAACAAAACGAAAGAGAGAATTAAAAACAGACACTAAACTAGAAAAATACAGATCGAAAGAGAGGTAGACTTATAATGCACTAGGGGTTGAGATTTCATGGAAGTCGATATGGCGCGTCAAAGTAGCCAAACATTTAGATATCGTCAGGTGACTTTTGATCGGTCCCTTGGTCGTCTGACCAGAGGTAGACAGGTACACACAGGTATGACAGGGTATACCTGACCAATGGGGTAGTTACGGGGAACATGGGACACGTGCTCCTTTAACTGAATGGCTTAAAATATGAGAAGAGAGAGAGAGAGAGAGAGAGAGAGAGAGAGAGCGAGAGAGAGAGCGAGAGAGAGAGAGAGAGAGAGAGAGAGAGGGGGTGGTGAGGGAGGAAATGTGATAAGAAGAAGAAAGAAAATTTACACACCCCTCTTGCATACTTCGCTTAATCAATAGTCTTATTGCCTTGTATTTATCCACCGAATAAAATTAATGCCCCTTATGATACCAGTACCCCCCCCCCTCCATCAATGTCTGTAAGGCACGCTACGCCACTTTCTACCTGACCATTAAGACTGTCTGGCTTAAGGTCCACAGGTGATTAGTCCAGACAACAGACCACGGAGATCTGTATCATAAAAAACGGGCCTCCTAACTTTTATTCAAGCATACCATCTAGGAACAATAATTTAACCCATTGACAACTGACTTCTCTCATTCACTTGGGTTTGTTACATGTTCCAAAAGGTTTCAGCAGGCAACGAGTTAACTGGACTCTCAACATTCGCTTTAAACGGATTCTTGTCTGGATAAGTCCAATGTCACCGTACCCTGTTTGAAATCGAAGTGTTTTTAGTTTTTTGTTTCAATGTTTTTGCAACTGAATATTAAGATTACGAATCAATAGCAATGACACAAGTGGGTTAATGTATTTTGAATACTTTGATGATACAATCTACACAATTTTTCCAAGAATGAGGGATCTTAACATACCTCAAGAAACATGTTAAAACACACGTTTTTGCTAAAAACTCGCTCATCTGTTATTCGTCTCCCTTCTTTCTTACTTTTCGTAAGAAATTAATGTGATTCTTTTATCCGACGTTATATTGTTTTTATTACATCATTTTGATTTCTTAATGTATTATAAATTATATTGGTATTCCTAATCTTTTTATTTACAGCGTTTAGTGTCTCCAGTAAGAAAATGCGCTTCGGAATGGAAATTGTTACGAAAACCCGCATGCAGATGACTACCAGAGACAATATCATTAACAAATTACCATGTGTAAGTCTGGGCCCCGTCTTACAAAGAGGTGATATTGATCCGAATCAATATCAAGTCCTCCATTCAATCATATATAATTAAGTTTGCAGTCTCCCATCTCTTATGTACATAGTTGGGTTTGATATCAATCACAAATAAGTTGTGATTGATATCAACTCCTTGTAATACCGGACCCTGGTCTAATAGGCCTACGTACTTCCCCGGTGCTGGCTTTTTACAGCTCTGTTCATAAGAGTATATGTACATATAGCACCTGCATGTTCCACCCGTTTTGTAGGAATACCTAATACAGTCTTAGCTAAGAACAAAATAATGCTGAAGATCCAAATCTGAAATGTCTGCTTATTATTCATAAATGCAAGCAGAACAAAACATCGTCATCTTCCCTTTAATACTGAGGGTGTCTGCCATCTGTACATTAAAAATCACATGTTATTAACAGGTCCTAATACCGTCTCGGCAAACATAAACTCGAGTTTGTTATGCTTGTCTGTAACCGTGGAGATAGAAGGGGATTTAGCCTATCCTAAAAATTACTGGTTAATCACCTTATGATTGTCGTTTAAGGGATAATGTTACCCATACCGTAAGAATAACTTATCTCAACTCTAAGACTCGTTGTAGACTGGTCAAAGTTCTGAGATGATATTGAATTGATATATAAAGAATAAACCACGTTTTCACAATTATTTCATTAAAGAGGTAAAAAGTAGCTATTCTAAATTTGTGGGCTACAGGGCATATTGCTAGGGCGGACAAATTCAACTCGGTTAAATAGGCAATGTTTAATGATGAGGATAAATGATCGTGTGCCTTAGAGAAGAGCATGACAACTTGTAATCATATTATATCTAAATAGTTTAATCAATTTTAGTTTGTAGTATGATGCGAATTGAAAGAAAAGTAGGCCCATATTCTTACCCCCAGCTCTCAACTATTGAAACATAAATGATAAGCAAAGAGAGATGAAGAATTGAAGAGGAGGAATGAATTAGAGTGGGAGAAGAGACTGAGAATTTTTGGAACAGCATATTATGCTGGCCAAATTCTATGAATACGATGACAACTGAATTGTAGGTTAAAGATTCAATTCTCGTTCTTTAAGTGAGTTGATTGAAACGCACGAGTGGGACAAAACAATACATGTGAATCTGAGTCGAACTTTCGATGACCCTAGGAAAATTTGAGACTGAGTCATAGTATGTCTAATTTCCTGACTAGTTTTCCCCTCTCGCCGTCCCCCTAAACATTGCTTCATCTCGTCCCCCATAACCTCGCAATCGTTTATTCCCAACTCGGTCGTAAGCAACGTGATAACTTGCAGGAACATTATACACGGAGGACAAAACACTAGTTTTTCTAGTGTTCCCCACGAAACAGGATTGCAAAGACTTTCGAGAAATAAACACAATGGCAATGTCAACACCCGAGAGTATCACTCATATAATTACATCGCGTTCGGATTATGACATATGCCACTGAAAAATTGCACGTTTCATAAGGTGATGACTGATGGACAAGCCTATGATTCAAAGTGCTTAATTTCTAGAAAGTCTTTGAGATCGTCTTGCAAAACAGGGTATGTTCATGAAGTCTACACATTCACTGTCTAATTTTGTTACTGAAATGGCCATCATAATTTGGAAGAAATTATTTAATCAGTTTGTTCGGAGGTGCAGTAATATCGTTTTCATTTATGTGTAATATTATAGAAAACTGAGAGTCAGTTCGGGGTCGTCAATAACTCCCACCTTCGCACGCCAAAAACGAAAGAAAACTCTCAGTCCTCACATCATTTTTTTGTTGAGGGGAGGGGAGGGGTGGGGAGGGGAGGGGAGGGGTTAAAGAATAAGTGTTGGCAGGCTAAGAATCAACCTGAGTCACAATCCCCACGAGTCTCTTACTTCATGACATGAGCCTAAACGACAGATGCCCTAAGAGTGCGATGCGTAACGGTGCAAACAAAATACGGTGCATACATTTCCACGTGACACGGGTTTTCTTCTTTTTCTTTTCTCCCAAACTTTCATGGTGTCATCGTCATATTTCGCTTGAAGCATAATTATACAGCTGTATCAGTCACTCTCCTCACCTCTTGCCCTCCTCTCCCCTTCTCTCTCTCTCTCTCTCTCTCTCTCTTTTTTTTTCTCTCTCTCTCTCTCCCTCTCTTCTTTTTACTATCATAATCTGTACCTATTATCTATCTCCCCATCTTTTTTTATATCTCTTTTCCCACCTCTCTTCACAATATCTTAAGCACTTTCTCCGTCTCCAGCTCTTTATCTCTTCCTTCTCTCTTTATATTCTCTCTCTCTCTCTCTCTCTCTTCTTTTCCCCTCTCTCATTCCCACCCCTCTCTCTCTCTCCCCTCTCTCTATCTGTCTATTTATCCCTCAATCTCTCCTTCTCCAATTTTTCGATTGAGCGTTAAAGGGAGTTACGGTCATGCCCCCCTTCAAACCTGTCAGCCCCTATTCCACGCGGGAACATCCAAAGATTGGACGCGCAGTATACAATTTCACGGGGTGCCTGGTTTGAATTAAGATGCACCTGGTACAACCCTCTAGGGTTATATTAAACAACCGTTTGATGGAAAACATGAAAGATAGAGCCTCCTTAGAGATCATGGGACAATTATTGTAAAGAAAGGAATAATGCGAGATAACAGACGATTGCTTAAGAGAATTTTCCCTCACTTCATGGAAAAAAAAGTGATTGACTTGTCACATGTTCCTTGGAAACTACTTGTAGAACATGCGTTAAAACTTAAAGATCGACTTTGCTTGCACTCGGGTTGTATGACCCACTTTCTTGCGACAGTTGCTTCATGGTTAGTTTTCTATTTACGAAACAAAACACCTTATTTCAACCCTGGGCTATACATAACCCTAAACCTAAACCTAGCCTAAAACTAAATCACAACCCTAACCCTATACTTTTGATGAAATAAAGTCCGGAGTAAATGTTGCTGATGCAAGTGTCACACATAATCATGTATATAGTCTCTAGCCAATATTATTTGTGAAAAGGCGATTGTAACATCAGGAATTGATACTTCAGTCAGAATATGCAGAGGGGCACCAGATTCTTGACCAAGGATAACATTCACATTTGATGTTACAGAGAATATTCCGTCTCAACAGAACACAATCAAAGAGAAAGATTACAATTTTACAAGAATATATATCTATGCCAATTAGCAAGCTTATATCAGAGCATTATGTGGATTTGGAGAAGAGGCCAAAGTAAGAGTCCTATATGAAAATCGCAGTGCGTGCGGTTGGTTCAAATGCAAGCATGATTCTATGCTTTTGATATGTTAAACCATCTTTCATTGTATAGATCAACAATGCAATAAAACCGAATCGATACTGAATGAGGATGATGTGTGTCAATGAATCATTCTATTTAGTATTTCAGACATCCACTTTTATGCAAAGACACGTTGAAGCGCTTCTCATTTTACTCTTACGGAATTGAACTTTCTATCATTTTATGCTGGTAATAACAAAAAAAAAAGAAGAGTAAATAAGTTGGAATGATCTTCTTCTCCATCATCTTCAAAGTTTATGATGGCTGGACGTCATTAGACTCTAGTAAAGAAAACCCACAACAAATAACATAATAATACAAGCCTTGGCCTGGCTACCCCTGTGTCAGAATACCAGCCAATATAACGAATGAAGAGTTTTTTAAGTTGTGAATCGTTTCTTCAAACTACAAGTTATGAATTTGAAGCATTTTTATATCGATAATATCGATAATAATGTGGCTTTACCAAATTGACACATTATAAGACATTTTAATTCTTTCTGAAGCTTGTGACCTACGGGTGACCCTAGCCATCACTCGGCTGCATACACGGGCTGCAACCAATCAACTTCCTTCTAGACTTCAACCATCCTTCTTCTCCTGCCACTGACATTAAGAACTGTTTCCGGAGTCATCATTTCTTCCCTCCCTTTTTCGGTACCTCCATTTTCTTCTACTCCCCAGCAGGTAACATACAAATCATATACTGATCATAATGATCGGCCCCTTAGTGTAAACATTATTGTGATAATCAAGGGCACGGGTTCTACCAAACCTGATGAACTCTTTCAACCTACTTGGATAATCTTTAGCTTAAGCCCTTTTTTCTGGGGCGCCACGAAAGGCATTCCGTTATCTCTTAAAAGGTACATTTGATGTTTTGTGATCTTTTGGGCAATTGATGGTAGTTTTTGATATATGAGTGAACATATCCTGTTTGTGTTGTTGTTGCTTTATGGACACTTTAGGCAGACCTTTAAGAAAATTTAATCAGACCCATGTCAATAGAGAATTACATCTCTTTTCTTTTCTCCCTAATGAATGCAGCATCATCATGATTAAGTCGACCCCTAAAGTTACCCATGTTCAGAAGAACCCATCTCCTTTGGCATGGAGACGATATAAAGCATAGTGCATGGGACGACCAATATTATTCTATATAATTTAATTTACAATGTGTCACTTTGAAACGGTGCACTGGTTGGAGGATCGAAAAGGTAGCACACTCTTTGCAAGTTCATTATCGGCAATGTTTTGGGGCGGCCCTGCCCTCACTAATCCCCCACTATGCTCCTGCACATCGTGCCCCTTTCCTGCCCTTGGAGAGGAACACGTGACTATGTGAAGAACTCCGCAGTCCCCCGAAAGCCTCACTGTGTACGTGGTCTAACAAATCATTCCTTGACGTTCGGGGACTTCCAAGTGCTTCGCAGAGTCACACGTCTACACGTGACAATGCAAAGAACTCCGCGGTTCCTGAAAGATTCCGAGTGTTGTCGATCTGACATGTCATTCCATGTCGGTCGGGGACCTCTTGTAATCCACGCTTGTTTTTTTTTTATTTCTAAATTCATATCGCATGTCTTCGATTGCTTTAATGCTTCTAAACTATCTCTTGAATCAATTACGAGATGACATATGCATCAAGGCGTTCAACAAGTCTTGTCAGAGAAACTTAAAGGAGAATTGAATTACCACAAATTAGTAAACTCCGTGTTGCTTTTGTGGGTTCATTGTGTCTTGACAGTACCAAGTTCATGTACAAATCATGATCTATCTTTGTGACTCTGTGCCACGCCCAATACATCAATGCACTATTGCACTCCACCTTGTGTTAATCTGTCAACAAATACGTGGCAAATATGAGGTATTAGCATGTGGGCATTATGTTCGCTTTATGGCAAATTGATATAGGCCTAGAGGTATAAATATGCCATGCAGAAAGGCGATAAATATATTTAATTTTACAAATAGTTTGATACTTTATGCGTCACTATCATTCTTTTCGATTTCCTACTATCATGCCTAACAAAGTTATAACCTGAGAAAAGTTGTATAACACCTCGAATATAGACATATACACGGTGTCAGACTTTAAATTCATTAAAGGTTGGTGTTTTACTCAGAATACCAAACAAAGAAGCTTACCGTGTGTAGGTATAGGCTGATCCTTGCTAGGGGAGCTTCTGAGAAGACGGCCGGTCGCTTTGGAAAGACTACCACCACTACTACCATTGGTTCCGCTTCCTCCTCCAGCCCCTCCTTGGGCCCCGCCCATGCTGCACCCTTCCATTCCGATACTGTTGGTTTGCACCAACGGACTATGATGACTGCTCCTGGATTCCTTGACCTGTTGCGAAGTACCGCTGCTCCTGTCCGACGACGACGACCATCCTTCCTTCGCTGACTGCGAGATGGCAGAGTTCCTCAACTCCTTGGAGGCATGTCCGTTGGACATGGCGCGTACATCCTTCCGTGAATCTGACTTCGTAGTCGATGATGTGCTGTCTCGGTTGTAGTGACCCGGATGCGATGATGCGTTTCGACTGAGCGAGACGTGGGATCCGCTGCTGCTTCTGTCTTGCGAGCATCCCCCGACGTTGGTCCGCGGGGGTTTCTCCACGACACCTCCCTGGCTGCAATGCGACCCAGAGACTCCAACAGATGATGAGTTGCCATGGGAACCGTGTTTGGGAGATAGTTGGGGTCCCCTGTGATGGTGGTTAGGGCTGCCTCTCCCTGTAGGTGAATGGGATGATCCTGATAGTGATGACGGGCTGCAAGTCGCTTGAGAGCTCTGCTTGGTACAGGGAGATGCCAACTGATTGTTGCCGTCGAGTGATGAGAGTGAATGACTGGAGGAGGAGGGTGAACTGTAGAAACGTGGAGCAGGGACAGGTCTCAGCTCCGTGCTGATTCGGGGTGAGTCACTACTGCTGAGGGGACGTTCCTGCAAGTAAACAACCAAAGACATGAGGGAACAGTCAAACAAAAAATGTATCGTCTCTTTTTTGTATACATGTCCTTCATGTCAGTTATTTCACTTTCAATTACTAAAACGTTTGAATGCCTATCAAAACATTTCGTGTACATACAGGGTATCCTTCGAGATTGAATGCCGATGCAATTCTTTCGTTTACGATTGCGTCCACAGTATATCTCGAAAATTGATGATGATAATCCGTCACACAAAGTTTTTACGAACATAATTGAATATATACGTGGCATGGTTCTAAATGAGTGGTATGATATTCTTTACTATCTCTGCTATATTGATAAGGCCTGTCCTAGGTGCTTGTATTCAATGAAGGTTCATCGGCATGTTGTTGGACAATTAAATTTGAAGTTTGTTTGAAGGGGAATACAGATAAGGATGAAGGTAAGGACTATCGTATCACATGCATCTGATTCGCCAATTCGTAGAGATGATCTTACATTGATCAAGTTGATTCGTAGTACCTACAGCCTACCGTTTATGGAAACTTCCATGAGAAGGTAATGCTAGACATGCTTGCATGTAATAGGCGTAGGCTCCGAGCCTGATATTTCGAAACTTAAATGCTTTACGCTAAGGAAAGTTAACCACGTTATATCAGCTCACCCTAAACGCTTGCCAAGATTTGAGTCAGGGGATAAGTGGGCCGTGTAGGAGAGGTGATTTCCTCATGAAACATCGACAACGTAATGTGTGGCATAACGTATACTCTTCGACATTCGCCTGTACTTTATAGACATCGAATGAGGTATGATAATTCCCTTTTCTTTCCTATTTTAAATTCCATTTCTTTCCGATCCCATCTCAAGTAATGAAAATGTAACAAACAAATCAACTGATTTCAATCAATAAATTTGTACAATTGGAACATCAAGACGTCTTTACTAACATTCGTATATTACAGTTGAAAATGGAATTTACGTAAAGTTTTACTTTGTTCTCCATAACCTCTCAGATACTCTTGAATGTCTACCGTTCTTTCTATTGGTCCCTTCTCCCCCTCAATGCTGCGGTCTCAATTTAACAGTCCCATTTCTCTTTATTTTATAAATAAATAAAAAGACACGTCCTTGAATTCTGCATGGAAGTTTTCAGGAGCTTGAGGGAGCCAAAGAAAACATAACGTAACTATGACTAAATCTCTGGCATATACCGCGGGTTTGTTCGTCAAACCTGCAAACAGGCGATCAGATATGACAAGGTGTTTTTGGATTGGCGCCAATTGTTGGCCAATCGCTACCTGAGATTACGTTCTGGATTGGACGCAGAGAAGGTCTGTCGCAACTGAGCAGTTGTGTCAAGTGTTGAATCCCAAGATGCTGTGATCAAAGATAAGGTTTGGCCAGGGTGTGCAACTGGTGTTTGGGTTGTGTTTACAAACAGTCGCTAAATTAAAAGGACAAGGTCTGTTGCTGTGTAGATGCTGGCGAGTTCAGCTACTTTTTGACCTCGACGAAATGGATCTAAGAATTAGAGAATACAACTCTGTTTCCAGCTTGCGAAGGGCAACAAATGTACAAGATAATATGTGTAGACCTATGTCGATAATCTGAAAGGGGAAGGGATGTGCGTTGCTTTAAAAATTTGAACCAGTCCCAGGTACACGTTCCACTTAAGCCAATGGGAAATACCTCGTATATATTCGGATTTGTTAAATGGATGGAGAATGTTGGATGAAGCTCATAAGTTCTGTTGTGCGTGTGTGTGTGTGTGTGTGTGTGCGAGTGTATGAAAACACTTCCAAAGGAGTCTCGTATTAAAGTTTGCACTTTCTATAACATTTGAACTCTAAGGTGCATCACTATATTATTTAAAGAAGTGTGACTTTAAGCATGGTGCGATGGATGATGCATGGTAGAACGATGCTGTTCTGAAGCCAAAAATAGCCACAGAATCCAGTAAACGCTGATTACGGATATTAGCTCATCAAATCCCGGAGGATATAACAAACTGAACGACTCATGCAGGCTGGCAATTTTGAGGAAAAAAATTCTGAAGATTCTGATTATATAAAACGCCGTCTGCAAAGAGCATTTATAGGGTGCATGGATTCAAGCAAAGGTGAGTTTATTGAACAGGTTCATTTTAGGGCCGTATTAGTCAAAAAAATAAAACTTGAATGTTTGAGACAATGTACAGTCAGATTGCCAAGGTATGATCAAGAAGTTACTAGCCATGCTTATCATCGTGTGTGTTCTTTGGAAGGTTTCCAGTGCTTCCTTCATCACGTAGGTATTTCAGCTATTCTTGTGATTAACCAATGTCTTCATTTCGGATATGATTATGAGATTGAGATTGTTTATGTATAAGATTGGGTCTTAGTACTGGAACTTAAACTCCACGCTAGCCTAAAATGGTGGTCATGTCTAAGGCCTCGGCCTGGACCACATTAGCTGTCGATTTTTTTAACACATCAAATACTATATCTCTACGCATATCTTAACTCAATCCAATCCAATCCAATCCGATCCAAAAGATATTTGATATAGCGCCTTTTTCTTTTTCAAGTCTCTTTCAATCCGATTTGGTTATCTTTCCACCCATCAGTCTGCTAAGTAGTTTCCAGAAATATAATGTTTGGAAATAGTCGTGTGGTTGCGTTTATAATCAGTAATACTTTATAAAAGATGTAATGGTTTTGTAACAAACAAGAATGCGTTTGCTTGAAAGAAGAATCTTACGATGTACCGTAAGAAACAGCACGAACAAATGTATTTAGCACAATGATAGCAACCTAAAGTAAAGTTAGTGTATTTGTTTAAATAAATGTTATACATCACTAAAACAATCCCTACCGAATGTAATCCTGAAAATCTATCATCGAGGACGACGTTTTCGTAGCGATGGCCGTCTCCCTTGGGTTTGAAAGCGACGTTCATGTACGTTTCGTCACCCGACGAATCTCTCGCTCCTGATAGAAAGTCAAATGAGAGGTTGAAGTGATGCGGCGGCGACGGCACCGGTCGCATCGGACACGTCATGCTGTCGAAAGCAGATGCCTCTGATGCGGACTCCCTGCATCTTTGGTTCCGCGGGAGGGGTACGGGTTTCCTGGTAGAAATTGATCCCCTGTACTCATGGTCCATGTAAGAAGGAGAGTCTGGTGACCCACAGTAGTCACGACTTCTGGTCACTGGAACAGCGGGCACTGGTCTGTAGCCCGATGAGCATGGGTCGTCAAAACACGTTGGTGAGTTGCTTCCTGAGGAATGATTATCAAAGTCGTACGAATCGTTGTGGAATCGTCCCGTGAGTTTTCTCCTCGCGAATGCCTGCTCTAACTCACTTCTATGCAGTCGTCTGCTAACAGGTGATGCAGATTGTTTTGTGGGTGACGGTGTCTCGCAACGTGGCGATTCTGTACCCGATCCTGAGCCGCTGTCACCACCTCCAAACACAAAATGTTGCCTCGTCGCAGTCGGTGAGCACTCTGGTTCAAAGACATTATCATAGGCTTCACCCGTGGACGACTTCCTTCTGACTTTCATCCGCATTGCCTGCATGGCTTGACCAAGCTCCGTGGATGGGGCCGACCTTGTCAAACCCTGCAGATCCTCGGACGACGACTCGTCGTGGGGCGCTTCGTTTGACACCCAGTAGCCATCAGACATCGCGTCCTCGTAGTCCCAGAACCCTTCCTCAGCCTCAAAGTCGTCTTCCATCCACAACTTGTCCCTCGCGGGCAGTGTCCGGGTCTTGGACGGTGGCGATTCCCGCCTCTCCTGGTGTGCCTTGATGGCGTCTGCGAGCTCGGCCTCGGAAGGGAACTTTCGTGAGCGAGTCGGTGTAGACAGGGCACGTCTCCGGGGTGGCGAAGCGGGTGGTGTCTTGGTGTTCTGTTGTTGGTGCGTTTGCTGAGGACGAAGCAAGAAAAGGGAAAATGGAGTTTGGAATTGAACTGTAAGTCACTCAGCTCTCTATGTTCTCGATGATGCTGTATATGACGATTATGAAAATCATCCTTCTTATAACGAAAGACCGTCTATCTGCTAAAGTTGTAATTAAAGTACGAAATGAGTAATTAAATTTTGTTCTCAAATCGTTATCAGTTTTATGTAAACCAAAAGTTTGCAAGTTGTTACAGGTGCGAGTCAATCAAAGTAGTTCCAACATTAACGGCGTATAGCTTCATCATTCTGTTCTGTTATTGAAAAATTATATTCATGTAATTTTCCATCAATAATTCATAATATATATGATTTACCACTGACTAGAAACCTTTGACAGTTTTCCAGATTAAGTGTAAAACAAAACTCCATTTTCCTTGTCTTGACTCATCCTTACACTAAACTGTAACATGCAAATTACAGAAAACCTTTTATTCTAGAAAACCTCTATGAGAATTCAAACATTTTATATTATGACTTAAAAATAATCATCGACGAAGAAGCAAAGAAAATTCCTATTGGGTACGAATAATCATATATGGTCTACATGTATTCTTCAAGAGTTCATTCATAGATACTTGTGCCAAAGTGTATATTTTGTTAAAAACACTTGTCGAACTTAAAATAATATTGTTTCAACCAAATCAAACAAAATTTGTCATGCATTTTACATCCAACAGTATAGAAAGGAACCTTGTTGTTATTAAAACGCAGAGTACATGCATTCATCCTGATAGTTATAGACGAAAAGGTTCAGAAAAGAAAGTAAAATACCCATACTCTTAAAAAAGAGAAATAAATACATTTTACTCGTGTTCATGCTTGTACGGTCAACAGGGTCAATGAAAAGAGCGATCTTCTTGATTCACAAGATGTAGATAGAAATATTGCCAAGTCATTTCTGAGCACCGGTGTATAAATCCTTAGATTATGAGCAGTTCAGGGGCCGCTTAACCCTCCCAGGGTTGATAACCTACCCTTTGTTGCCCTGGTCATTTCAGATTGGTCAGTAATGACCTCGCTAGAGTCACTGCCCAGACAAAATTATTCTATTTTTATTTCATTCGTAAGAATGGGGCCCTTCCGTGATTGCTGGCCGAATCTCACATACAAATAAGATGTTCGCAACACCTTCTGCCGATTAATTAGTTCTGCAAGTCATTTTGTAAATGAGTAATATCACTATACATAGCCTGGTTATCACTTCGTAGTTTGGTATGCTTCGGGTGACCTCACAGAGATTGTAAAATAGTTCCTAGAGACAAAAACCTACCTCACGATTGTTTCATTCAGTCAAGCAATAAAAACATGCAGCTTTTGATATGGATTCTTCCTAAATAACTAATGTTTTTTGGGGGTATTTTCATTAAAAAAAAAACAGTTTTCTTCAACCAGGGTATAGATACCTAATGGTCTTATATCGACTCGCGTCTTTTCTGTACCATGAAAGTGCTGGTTTATACAGCAAAAGGAGTGATCGGTGTAACCCCCTCCCCCCTCGTTTGGAGGCATCGGAATTACACTTGCAGAGTGTCAAAAGCTGTGCGGGTGTCCAGGTACATTTGGATACGCCAGTGCATTGATCATACATGTTAAAACTTATTCAAGTCCCAATGAAGGTTTCAAAAGACATCCAATAGAACGTGAGAAAGCTCATGACCTTTAAGTAATTAGCGACTGTGACAGATGGTCAAGACACTAGCTCAATATAGCAACCAAATAACATAACCCGAGCACCCCCCCCCCCACGAAAAAAGTTACAAATGCTTCTGTTTTCGAAATATTTGCCTTCTAAAATACATGTATAAGCTTTTATTCCCCATACTCTTTCAGCATTTGAGATTCTTCCCTACCAAACATGAAACAATACCGACATTTTATTCTACAAAATCTGAAAAGTCGTCAGTCCTGCTAAAACAGCTTCCTTAAATTTCAATTAAATTCAAGTGAAACTGAAACGATGTAAATGAATAAAAGAAATCGAATAAAATACTTGAACTAAACAAATAAAGATAGAACAAAAAAAGAACAAAACATGCAGAAGGGTCCGAAAATGAAAATCATAAACAATATATTCATCGAATACTTCTACGCTTGATACTTTATTAACAGCTTTACTCTAAAGAACAACTTAAGTTGAACAACAAAACGTAACAAAACATAATGGAAATAAAATATACAATGGAATCGTATTACTTCTTGTATTATATAACAACGTGATAACAAAACACTAATGAAAATAATAAGATCTTCTGTTATAAAACGCACATCAACATATATTTTCAAAATCATAAACATAACAGTAAATATAACATTTCATTCATGCCATACAAACACAACCTTTCATTCGTTTCAAACAAAACAAAATAAAAAAATTGCATATTAATGTTCCTTGTGCCGTTCAATTGAACGTTCAGTATAAACTCAAGTGAGAAAGGAGGTCATAACAATACAATGACATCCTTGAAAACTAAATATATAGGTCTGACTGTGGGAGGTGTGTCTTTATAGTCGGGTAACGTAAATTACCCTTTTTAAAATAGAATTTATAACGTCCAGCTATGGCATTGACCAATATACTTTCAAGGTATAGGCCTTCTCAATTATACATGCGTTAGTTCGCAGTAAAAGGCTCTGAGTCTGACCTTGCTTTGTGAGTTCATTGTGATAGATTCGAATCCGTACGCGAGAACTTATAATATTAAATGATATGATAATGATAATAATCACAATAATATCAATAATAATAATAATGAGTAAAGCAATAGTATTGTAACTAATTATAGCAGTAGTATTGGTTGAAGAAGTAGTAGTAGTATTAAGTAGTAGTGTACACAGTTAAAAATTTTGTGAACAAGTTGTTTAAAAGTTTAAACAACTCTTGATTAACGGGTGACCTGATCTGAAAGTTGTTTAAAATGTTAAGCATCTCGAGTTGTTTAAAGTTTAAACACTTAGTTGATCAACATTTTGAACAACTTGTTTAAAATCACAATTTAAACAACTGGTGTTGTTTAAAGACGGTTGTTTAAAATGGAGCTGTTGTTCAGTGGGGTTGTTTACACCAACTGGGTTGTTTAAAGAAAGTTGTTTAAAAAGGAGCTGTTGTTAAGTGGGGGTTGTTTACACCAACTGGGTTGTTTAAAGAAAGTTGTTTAAAAAGGAGCTGTTGTTCAGTGGGGATTGTTTACACCAACTGGGTTGTTTAAAGAAAGTTGTTTAAAAAGGAGCTGTTGTTCAGTGGGGGTTGTTTACAACAAAAGGGTTGTATAATGGCGTATAATTTGGGTTTGATACTCTGAATAAGTGCACCACTACTTCTGGGTCTCTATATTATAGGTATATGAAGACTAACAATATGGCAGGGTAATTCTGCAATTCATGAATTAGCGCCAAAACAGTGCCCATTTTGCATGAGCACGCAAGCACGCACGTATAAACTGCATTATATAGGGATGCATGCAATCTCTATGGCAAGGAATTTAGCACACGTTATAACCGAGTGCGCGATCAGTGCCGCACTGCATGACGCGACGATTTTAAGTCTACCTATATTCTGACATTTGCGTACAGATACTGAAAATTTCAACTGTGAACTTACGCTATAAGTTAAAAACTTCAAATTGGTTAATAGAAAAGTGATTTCAATTAAGCCATTGAATCCCCAGTCACTTAGAAGCGCGTCGGTAGCTTGGTCGGCCATGATGTGTGTTGTGTTGTGGGTTGGAAAGTAATAACTATTAAGCTAAAAATGGAGCCTGCAGAAACACGTGTGGTTGCTTTGGTAGTTTAATTCAGACCCAATATCCATGCGCTTTTACATATGTATCAATCTGTGTAGTCAACAGAAGACCCTTGCATACACTTGCATTGTGAGTATGCATCTAATATGAATAACAATGAGCTGTGCCTAAACAGCTGCACTGCATTGCTAAGTGGCATGTTAATTTCAATTGCATGTCAGTTTCAAGGAACCTGTTTCTAAACATAACAATGTGAAATAAAGCTTTTAGCCAACGCGCACTTTACTGGCACGAGACACATGACGTCATATATAAACAACACTGTCTAAAAGCTCTCGTATAGTAAATATAGCAGTCATTAAATTTTAAACAGCGAATGTTCAACAAAATTACTTTCGTTTCGAGCAACATTGTTCACAATTTGTTCAACTGTTGTTTAAGATAGTGTACAACTGTAAGTAAACATCACTTTTTTAAGCAGCGTTTTTACTGTGTAGTTGTAGTGGTCGTCGTGGTAAAATTAATAATAGTAATAATAACAATAATAAGAACAACAACAACAAAAATAATAATAAATAATAATAATAAAAATTATAATAATACTAACTAGCTCTTAGTACGCTCTAAAAAATACAAATTCATCACAACGTTTACAAAATAAATGATGTATGATATTGAATGAAACTTAAAATGAGTACGTATTATTAAAGGGATGAAAATATGTATGGGGGTTAATTTATTTTGGGAAGAGATACATTTTCAGGAATTTCTTAAATTGGAGTTGATGAAAGATGGGATATTGTTACATTCTTTGGATGCAGCTATGGTAAATGTGGGATCACCAACTTTGCTACTAGTCTTTAAAATGGTAAGAAGGCAAGTACTATTTTTATTATCATTCTCTTTACTATTACTATTACTAACAGTAGGATTTTCGTATAGCGCTCATGCCTCATGCCACAACTCACACTCCTGGTGCTTCACTATTGTATGCATAATTTCAATTAAGTTCAGGTTTGTGGTATGATTTCTGTGTTATGATCTTTGGGGATAAGAATGTGTGACGCGTTTGGAATACTTTGTTTAATTTCGCTTTGTCCAAGTCTTCTTGTTAAATTTTATTTTCACTTCATGACTGTCAATTGGAGAGTATATAGGACTCACTTCAAATGGCATGTTATAGCTCTTCTTTATAATTTTAAGGGATTTCGTTTATTGACAGGGTGGGATTGGAAGGATGGACGAGGAGGAAAGGTAGTCTTTTTCTTCAATTGATATTCATAATTTGTGATAATGTAGGCTACTAGCGATGGACATGGAGTAAATATACACGTGTACACGTGGAGTTCATAGCGGCATGCAGTGAGTTAATCAAGCCAGTCATCATGGCTAAGATCATCATCAGCTTCCGTTCGTATATACCGACCTTGACAACCCCCAATCCCTTCGTTACCCCCTCCTCGGCTTCCGTTCTAACAGCGCAGTACGTGGGAATTTGAGCAAAGGGGGAGCAGCGAATATTTCCCCGTTAATTTAATCCTAAAAATAGCACCCCAGCATGCATCTTTAAACAGATTTAATTTAGAAAAAGATAAAAACTTATTTCCAGCTATGTCAAGTACCTGTGAAGATAGCTATGACACAGATTTTCCACGATTCTGGTTGCAGTAGATTTTAAATGCGACTGGGGGATAGCACTAGTAATTACGGCGACGTAAAATAATGTGGATGAAAAAGAAAACATGAATAAAGAAACAAAGAAAGGGAAAATAAACACAAAGATTACAAGATATGATTCCATGCGTGTAATGTTGATGCAATCATGCTACGACAATTACAATAGAAACTATGATGGATATGTGAATATAAAAATTATGCATGCAAATCATATCTGCCCTATATAATTATATTTCCACATAAGGTGTCTGATGTAGTTATTTTTGTTGCTGTTGATGTTATTTTTAATTCAGGTTTTCCAAAGGTGGGTCGAATAGTTAGACATTACGAGAAAAGGAAGAAGAAAAAAAAGTGGCGTAGAGAAACGAATAAAGTGTCTTCGCAGGTTTTTAGTATCAAGGGGGCGGCCGCATTTTCTTCTGTTCTTGTCTCAATGGATCCGCCCTCCTTTTATTCTTGAAATATAGGAGAACACTTGAAGTTCTTTGAAAACTTCTGACCCTACCTTAAAGTTCATTTCTTGTTTTCCTGTTTTGTCTTGACATGGTCATGTACCTCACATGCTAAGAGAAACTGGCTTCATGGCTTAGAACATTTATGATCTGACTAATCACACTTATCCCGACCTACGTCAAGAACATAATCTTCCAGAATCTCCGCGAAGCTTGCACAAAATCCTTAGCTTTGATCGCCAGGGTTGCCCAGTTCCATTAAAAATCTATCATCACTTTTTAAGGTATTGGGAAGGAGGGCTTTGAAGGTACGAGAAAATTTTGTCAAATTCATGGATTTGATGAAAACGTGTCTTTCTAGGTGCTTTTTCAGCCAGGCATTCTTTCCACAAATTCAACAAAATGGATCTCTGAAACTCAATGAGTGAGATATTTATAATTTTCGTTGAGGCAACAAATCACATGGAGTTTTATCTCACCTGTTTGACATTTTTGTAGCTTTCTTTCCTCTCCAGCTTGGTGTGTGATCGTCCACTGCTTCCCGTTATCGAACCACTGCTCTTGATACCGACCATCACTTCCTTAGCTTCGCTCTCCTCTCCCAGGGGCTGGGGTCGAATCTTTCCAGTATCCGACAAGTCCGGCAGGGGAGGCGGTCTGTTGGGCGGTGCCGAGAGCGCCGATATCGCTGCAACCGCCGCCAAGGTCGCCGTCGACGTTGTGTGCGATGACGTTTTATCATGCGATGATGATTTATCGTGCGATGACGATTTATCGTGCGATGACGATTTATCGTGCGATGACGATTTATCGTGCGATGACGATTTATCATGGGATGATGATGAATGCGATAAGGTAAGCTTGCTGGTTAGACCGGAGAGCGTCTTCGTGATGGCTGCTGTCTTCTGGGCGAGGGTGAAGCCTTTGATGATCCCGCGCCCTGAGTTACTCGATCTCCTGTCCGATGCAGACGTCGAAGAACTGCTCGACGATGATGACGATGACGAGTCATTTTTCGATTTCTTTTCTGAACTGAAAAGATTAAGTAAGAACAATTCATGAACTACATTAGACTGAGCAATATATAAAATGAAAATTATTCACACTCTCTTGGTATATGCCTTCCAATTGGCAAACAACAGCCGATGTATAAAGCAAAGCCTGTATAAATCCTTAGGCATAATTTCCATTTTATATTAAGTGATGTGCCTTGAAATTTAAACATCAAGTAAATCATCTTTGCATGCATAATCTTCGTTTGTGTCTTTGATTGGCTAGTAAACATGAAAGTGTTTCTTGATGCTACATTAATACTATCACGTCGATTCATGTTCATGGGGTTTATGGTACGAAGGCAATATTTTCATGAAAACAACAATTTCAACAACAACAACAACAACAGCAACACGCCACTTCATATAGGGCCTCCCCTTAACCTTCATGACTATACAGGTCAAGAAAATACCTAATATCGGTAACCTGGAACCCGGCCAAAGGTGACGCACCTGTGATGTAATGTTAACGAAAGTTAGAGTAGTTCTACGACCCCCTTGTTGCCCTATACCACTCCCCCTCTACCCCCACACCACAACCACGCTCTTATCAAATCCATACATTTCTCAGTATTAATCTTAGCAATTAATTCATGGATTTACTATGATAACTCTGTGACGTATTATTTCTTAGAATAGTTTGTCATGGTTGCTGGAGACGAGGTTGTCATTGTCATTGTTTCTTTATTGTGTATGCCCATTGATGTAAGGGTAGACGAACTTTGGTGATTACTCATCATCACCCGACGAACTTTAAGAACTATGATGCCGTCAGCCAGAAGTATAGCTATGTGAAGGACTTAGCTAGGGATATAAGGTGAGACAAGAGTCGACGAGACAGTGAGGGATAGTGGAAGAGGAGGAAAGAGATTTAGTGACAAAGATATGAACTAAGAGAGAGAGAGATAGAAAGAGAGAGAGAGAGAGAGAGAGAATAGAAGACCGAGTATTTGAAATACGGATACAACAGTGGAAACATTGAGAGACAGAAAGAGAGACAGAGAGACAAAGAGGAAAGGAGATAATCAGAAATGTTAAACATAAAAAGTGCTAGAGAGAGGGGAAAATAGGAATGTCTCTATGTGTGCGTGTGCGTTTGTGCGCGCGTGTGTATGTGAGAGAGAGACACACACACAAAAAAGAGAGGGGCGGATAGAGAGTGAGTGAGTGAGGGAGAAAAAAGGAGGCTAGGGTGGGGGAGAAGACGGGAAGCATATTCACGCACAGATACTCCCACACCGCACCACGCAATGACACATAGAAAAGAGAACACCAATATAGAAAATAAGAGAGAGAGACGGGGGTAGAGGGTTATAATATAAAGTGACATCCTTGAAGAAAGTGAAATAGATAAAGTGACAGAGATAGCAAGAAAGAGAGAGAAAGATATAATGAGAGAAAGACGTAAACAGATGAAAAGGGGCAGAAAGCTCACGTACACACACGCACACAATAATGAGACCAACAGAATGAGGAATAGTCGAGGCCTTTAAAGCGGACCTAATGTGATTTAGAACCCCCATCTGCAACTTCTGAGATGCTAAAGCAAATTAAATTGAAATTTAATGCAAAACAAAATATGATGTAGTCCGTAGAAAGAATCACAACTAACGCCCACTAATTAGAATAAAGCAGAAGTTTGGAAAGGCAGGGTGGGAATTAGAGAAAGAGATCAAGAAGAATGAGAAGAATTGGTTGCCTTTGTGTGTCTGGGAAAGTGAGAACTGGGAGTAGATAAAAATAATGTATTACTACTTCATTACGTAAGACAGGAAGACCATGTCAGATCCGCCCCTTCCTCTAGTCTGTCACGATTGAAAAGGTTTCGTGGTTGTCTTTGCGCTTTTAGAAAGTATCTTCGATGATAAATTCCCATTGTTTGTTGTTGTTGTTTTAAGTTGTTGTTTTAAGTTGTTGTTTGTTCATCATGCAGAGTGCGATTCGGATGGGATAGATGTCAAAGTGGATTCAGATTGACTTTCAATACAAAATATATTTTTGACCCTGCTGGTCAAATTTAGTCAATTTTAAACAAAATTGCTGGTGTATATAATATGAAGAATCTCCATCCGACAATCTCTGTTACAATCACTGCCGTATCCTTTACATCACGCCCATCCCTCCTACCCCTTATCTGGGACGGACTTATTTTCCACACTCGTAACGCTCACTCCTTCTAAACCACCCCGCGTTCGTCACAATTTCCTTTGCGCATTCTTCAGAAAAATAAAACTTCGTTTGCGTATCACTTAAGATATTCGAAGGTGGGTCTAATCATTTCAGAGAATCTGTAGATTTAGGAGGGGGAGAGTTGCATCTAGATTTCGATCGCGTAGAAATAACCTTTATCTTATTGCTCGGAACTGTTGTCGAATGGCACTGGCTTCCCGCTATGTCAGCTTACCGATCACCCCCACCTCCACCCCGCAACACACACAAACAAACCCGCACGCACACACACGCACACTCACGCACACGCACGAATAATTTAGCACCTGCCCAAGTTCAGTAGAAGCATTATGTATTCACATCGTCTTACAATAGATATTCAGTGATGAACGTTTTCAAAATGATAAGATTTGGGATATTTGCCTTTAAACAGAGACTAACCGAGATTTTCAACAAGTCCTGTATCTCAGAACATAACGAATCAGACATTGTATCGTATCATTATAGACATTGCACTATACATCCTCTAAGAAGTAGTGTGTCCATTGGCATGACTGCAACAGTAAAACAAAATATCTGTAATAAGTTATGCAATACAAAAAATGATCGAATTATGGCCCACGAGAATTCAGTCAAAAATTATTTTTGCGAACGTGCCTCTTGTAAAAAGGAAATCACTTGATACTGATGAACAATTTTTAGAAATGTCTTTAAATATTCTAGATTGTCTATAAACTTACCCTTTTTCTTTCTCCTTCTCTTTGTCAGGAAAGACGATGGTGCTGTATTTGACCTTTCCTCCTCCCGGTTCGACCTTCATTATAGGTAAGGGTTCACCATTCTCGCTGTTACAGAAAAGAAAATCATAAAGTAATCCTTGATATTGCTATAAAAGATTCAAATAATCATTTTACGGGGTACGTCAAAGAGCGCAATAGTCGATGACGCAGTACAACACTAGATAAATGGCACATTATGTGCAATGATCATTAGGTTAAGAATCATTTGATTTAGTCTTCATTTCAAGTTTCATAGAACAAAAGAATTGAATGAAATGATTGATTGACGGAACTTTGCATGTAAGATAATATTTCTACGGTGATTCATAAAAAATGTTTTAATGAAATACTTACCAATATCGAGCTTTGGGTGGCCCTATTTCCACTTCTATGTAGTTTAACTTGTAGCTCTCTGCAGAAAAGAAAGAAAACACGAGAAGATAACAGCAAATTAGTTTTGCTAAATACATCGCAAATATGTTAAGATTTTAAAAATAATGTTAAAGGGGAATGTTTCCCGTATTCCAGAGGGCGCTCAAAATACGTACGCGCTGACGGCGCTATAGCTGCCTATTGACAACGACAGAATACGGCTCTACGCAGATGGCATGTTCCGATAACTACACTGGCGGGAACGTGCCCCTTTAATCTTGCTCTTGAATAATATTGCATTTTTGCTGGAAAAAATTATCAGAAATATCACTAATCAGACATTTTTATTTTTTTTATTTTTGGCACAAAGTTAAGATTGCTCTTCCAATGAGTTATTAAAGCATAAATTAACTTTGATAGCACGGAAGATAGTCGGTGAAATTGGAGGAATTAATAAATTATATGTGGTGATTTTTATCTGTAAAAATGGTTGAAAATACTGTTCTTTAACTGATACAATATAAATTTTGACGACTGGATCGCTGCCCCCGGGATATCTCTGCGAAAGGACTTTTTTAAACTTGGGGTACCCGTCAGGAAGGATGCTAAATATAGAAAATCCTGGCCCAAAACTGTCTAACTCTTAACCGAAAAGGTTTTTAGCTCGGCAATTGCGTGGTGTTTTGAGTCTTTGTTTGTTCCAGTCGTCATGACAACAAGGCAAATGTATCGCTTGACATGCAGGCGTCGAGAAAGAACCGAGAAAAAGTTCCAGACCAATAACGATTTGATTGACAGTGACTCATGGACTCGATAGAAAACGAGAAGGGGTAAAGAAGGGGGGGGGGGAGAGAGAGAGAGAGAGAGAGAGAGATGGAGAGAGAGAGAGAGGGAAAAAGACAAATGCAGAGGCAGAAAGAAAGATAGAGTGAGAAATACAGACAGAGAGACAGAGAGAGGGATATAGAGAGGAAAGAGAGCCAGGGATGGGAAGGGGGAAGGAGAGAGGGCTGGAGAAAAAGAGAAAAAGCGGAGAAAGAGAGAGGATAATTCAATCCAATATGGAAGTCCAACTTGACATCAAGATAAAGTGAAAGAGGGAAAATAGAGAAAAAGACAGAGAAAGAAGACAGAGAGGAATAAGATGGAAAGAAGGATCTGCTAACTGATTCACAATCGCAAATCAAAATGCTGATGCTCACTTCATCTATAGAATTTGATAAAAAAGTAAATACAAACAAATTGAACTGAGTAAGCCAAAGAACAGCTAACGGATTTAATTAGAAATGTAACATGCGAAATAACGTAAGTAAATGATTCATTCCAAAAATGATATAGTTCAACAAAATAATGCCCCAAATGTGCGTAGTTGGCTTTAACGGCTGTAAAAAGTAACCTTGTGTCAGCCTCGATATTAACGCATACTTTGGAAACTTTTGAAAACTATATGATACAAAATAGTACACGTTACATCATACATTTATGACGGTAACGGTAAACGTCACATTATACGCACATAACCTCGAAATAAAGCACCACAGAATTATAGGGTGGGACCTGCGGAAGGTTCTTAAAATCAGTTCGGAAATACACTGACGTTCCAATCGCAAGTCTACGTCTTAAACCTGTAGAAACAACCCTTAATGCTCCTCTAATTATATCATCTAAACCGCGATGACATGGACCCTCTTAGTGGGTGAGATCGTAATTACTATTTCAGTGGTTATCTGTTATCGTAGGTCTAACATCAAAATTAATTTGTTCCATCTTAACCCCAACTTCTGTGATGTTGACATCCACAAATCTACCGCAAAAGGGGCTCACTCTTATCTCATGTATCTGTGTATGATGAAGTTGATTACTTTTAAGGCCAAATTGCACCAAAATATATAAATTAATTCCGTGGAAGCAGGATAATAAATGTAGGATAATATGTTTAAATAAAAAAAAAATCATGTCAATTCTAAGAGCCAGTCTTGATCAAGAAAGCTTCAAAAATGCCCCACTGAATTATTGTTCAACTTTGCCACAGCATCATTACTTTCTGCCAATGCAGAAGAAAAAATATTATTAAAAAATAAAAAATAATAATAATTAAAAATATATATATATATATGTTACTTCATTTATTTGCCTTTCCCTCTAAAGTTGTACTATCTCTCATACTTAATAGACCTTTCATTGACCTTGTCCTCATCAACTGTAATAATTTCCACTCACAAAACCGGAAAATGTATTTTTGAAAATGTCCACATCTAAAATGGTTTCCTTTGAAATCTGACCAAAGTGATAATATTTATTGGACAGAGAGGAGTTTCAATTTGACAGCTTACGTCATTATCTCGTTAAAATCATCAGACATGATATTCTGGGTATTTCTTGATCCATGTGACGAACAAATTTGAAACAAGTTTTGTTCTTCTTTTAATTAGATGTTGGGGTCATAGCCTTGGTGGTTCGGAGGGCGAGCAGCTGCTATATAACAACGGGCATTTCTCATCGGTAAGAAAAGCCATTAATATTGCAAAAGCACGTTCCTCATTGTGACCAAAATATAAAAAAGCAACGTATAGATATATAGATTTATTACAATAGATGTATATACATGCATACAAAATCAATTATGAAAATGCTAATTCAGGTGGCAACTATTAAACTATAAATTAATAGGGACAACATATACTTTGAAATGAATGAAAAAACCACCTGCAGCACATTCTATGGGAAACTGCATGGTACCGAAACTCTCGAACTTGAGCTGGTCCAGAGATCGAGGGTTATTCTTAGCTCACCCTTCCTCCGAAATTATACAAGGGTTTATTTTATCCATGTAAATTGGGGCGTAATATGGGCAGGAAGTGCGGAGCAGAGACCGCGGGGTCGTTCTTAATCAACGGATCACCGAGACAATGAGCCAAGTAATTGGCACTCATTTCGAATCATCAGAAACTCGGATTAAGTCTGACGGCCAACGGGTAATTCAATGTTCCCTCACCATGCCACACTCCAATTAAAAAAAACCAAAGTACATGAAAATTAAATCAAAAGTTTTGATTCCCTCTGTGGGCTATTGTTCTATTTCTTTTGTCCCAGGTTAACCCGTGTAAGAACGTGTGTGCAGTGATTTATGAAAGGGGGGGGGGGTGGCATTACACAATTAGGACATTTAATTGGGAGGGTAATTGTTCGTGACATCGACATGACTTAAAAGTTATCCCAGAAATAAGTGCATTCAAAGAAAGATCATTAGGAGTCGTGAGACGAAACCCTTTCGTAGACCAATTTTAGGAGCGATGACGGCATACAAATTAACGTGGAATTATTCAAATGTTTGAAGTAATTGGCGATACGTCAGTGGAGGATGAGACGGCCTTAGTGCAACCGTGCAACGTGTTATGTAGACTTACTGCTCTTCCCATTCTCAACCAACGAATTTACCTTCTTGCAAAAAGAAGGGGGCGTAGACGGCTTTAGGTGGGTGTATGTATTAAAAGGTTTAGTAGAGTAGAAACGTTACCTCTAAAAATGCTACGTTACTTTTTTGTACTAATTCCATCCTTATTTAAATCGAATATAAAATTATAAGTTTTTCACATTGAACATCTTTTTCTCAAAACCTCCCCCCCCCCCTCCCCCTACCCTCTTCACAAACACCATTCAGTCATGTCAACACATGGGGAACACGACTCCAGAAGGATGAATTTGTAATAATTTATGATTTCAGTTTTTCAAGTGACGAATATTGATATAATTTTGTGCTAAAAACGTGATGATAATGATAATTGCGACTTCTAAAAATAAACATGTTAGGAGGATAAGCATACAAATAAACTGTGTCAACACCTCTCCGCTATCACATTTCAGTAAATTGGGAAAATTGTATCAAGGAACATGATAGGTAAAATTTGGTATATTTATGGTGACTTTTCGATGGCTTTTCACTGCGACCGATATAGTTGGCGCTAAAGAGATTAGTATATAATGTTACGAGCGTAAGATCAAGGTTATGCCTGACTAGCTCCGTCACTTTCAGCTCCATTTATAAAGATTTGGTTACTTATCAAAATAACAAGGTACTTAAAGAGGAAAAAAAATGTCTGTAATAGAAATATGCTGACTTTTCAGTGACTTCTCACAGTGACAAATACGGTATTGCACTGAAGGAGAAAATTTCATAAATAGGGTTAGAAAGGGGCTAATTGCTTCGTCAGTCGACCCTTTGGTTCTCGGCCCGTAGACCCGGGGTCTAAGCCGGTCGGAAATGGGGCATTCTAAAAATAAACTTTCTCCTCGCGCTAAAGTTAGCCTTGTCAAAATTGGAGGGGGGATATGGCGACCAAGCAAAGAGCTGGGGTTTGCTACAGAAGGCAACTACTCATCGCTTTGGCAATAATTAGATCCAGGTCTCATAATTGAGTTATCTTCTGAGAACAGTGAGGGTGATTTTTTATATGATATATTCCCACGTGAAGCGGATCCTTAATCTATGATTTAGATGAGTTGTGCTTGGACGGCCAAAAAAATGAGTTTAGCGCTAATGCCAAAAGTGTGCAAAGAATGACGTGTTTTTTTTTAAATATCCATTTTTTGAACAATGTTAATAATGTTCACTCGAGAACTGTGAACGTTGACATTGGAAGGTTAGGTAGGGAAAACCTGAGGGAAAAGTACAGTTACGTTCCGTAGAGAGCAGTGGTAGTTTTTTGTGGTGGGGGGGGGGGGGGGGGCGGTCGGGGCTCAACTAATCCTTGCCACTTATTAATTCCCGATCAGAAGAAACTGCCCTTATTTTTTTTTTTATTGTGTCCTTGTGTATATGTGTATTTCCCCTTTTTTTAATAATTATACAGAATCCTGGATCCCCGCGCGCTATATAGAGAAACTGTGAAGGCCTTTCAGGTCAGGCGACCTTTATGTATAGATGAGAGTTATGCATTGGCCTAATTGCATGTTAAGCTTCAATTCGACTCATCGTTTTCCATAATTCAATCAAATTTTGTATGAAACATAATCATAATATGTAACATTGCATAGCCTGCC